TGCCAGTACTCAGGCATTCCAAAGGAGTCGGAGGCAGCTTGGCGCGTCCGCTCCAAGACCTCCAGAGAGATACCCAAGAAGCGAGCCAGCTCTGCCGCAGACGGTTCGGTCTGAGCTTTAGCGTTCTGCTCAACGCGCTTCATCAACTGGACCTCGTCCAGCGGATACAACCGGTCTTCAAGCTCCTTGTCGTACTCTTCTGGCACGGTGGCGACATCCGTTCCAGCGAGAACATACGTCTCCTGCCCGGGCTCACAGTCATCCATAGCATCCAGTTCTTCGTCCGTAAACAAACGGTCGTACTTCGAGGAGTCCTTGGCCTCAACCGTTTCGTTTTCGACCGTCCTGGCCTCGACCGTACCGTCCACTTCCTTGCTCTCAGCAAGAACGGTCTCTTCATCCGTCCAAGCCGCGAATAAGCAGTCCGATACGTCGTACTCTTCGTCTCCCCACACTTCTAGGGGCGCCACCACTTCTTCCGGCGGCGTCACTTCAACCACGGCACTTCGTTCTTCACGCATCACAGTAGGAGGCTCCGACACAGTGCAATCCTCGGACAGCCCCGTGACCGTTGTCTCCCCACCGGTCCCAACCTCATCACACCGTTCGGGACTCGCAGCGACCAGATCTTCGTAGACCACTTCGACTTCCTTGCCTTCGACGTCCGCAACCAATCCTTCTCCTTCTTCATCCGTCCCCACGATCTCGAACCCGACTTTCTTTTTCTTGTTTTTCTTTTCAGCACATGGAGCTCCACGCATGGCAGACACCGGTTCGGTCTGCTTCCTCGATGCATTCACACAAACATCAACGGTGGTCACCGTTCCGCCTTCCGCTTCACGGTCGCGATCACCACCACTCGAGCCATTTACTAGACAAGAGGAAGGAGTGACTCTCTCCTCCCCTTCCTCCCACCCCCGTCATTGGTTCGAAGCGGTTTGTGCAGACTTGGTCCTCAGATCCTGGGCCGCACCCCGGAGTGCCGCAATGCCAGGACACGCACCGATAAGGTGACCTTCTTCCTCGCAGAACGCACACTTGGTAACGCCACGGCCACCGTTCCGGCCGACCGTTCCAGGGCCGCGTTGGTAGTTGTTAGGTCCTGCTTCACACTCCACAGCGATATGACCGTGAACACCACAGTTGTGGCACGTCATGGACTGGCGACGGAAGGTCTCTCGCGAGTGACCCACGTAGCCACACCGGCCACACACAGGCGCTCCCTCTTGAGCTCGACTGTCAGCTCCCATACGGATTCCTCGGACCGGTCGACCGTTCCCACGAGGACCTTGACCGTTCATTCCAGCGCCAGGACTCGAAGTCGTAGCCGAAACGTTGGGCATGCGGTTCCGCGGCGAGCGCGGAGGCTGCCAGCGGTTCTGCATCATCTGCTGCTGCCACTGCTGCGTCATGAACGTCGTCATCTTCTCCGCGAGCACGCCCACAGCCGCCATCGGATCGTTCGCGGGCGAGGCATCGCTCCCGCTCGACTTCCTCTTCTCGTCCGAGAACTCGTCGTCTTCTTCAATGGGACGTGACATCTCCTTGGCCAATAGCCATTCGCAGGCCTCCGGAATGTCACGCGCCGGTCCCGAGTCGAGACATGCCAATATGCGCTTGTTTCGGAGCCCGCGACGGAACAGCTGATATCTCATCTTCCTGTTCGGATAGTCCAACGAGTCACAAAGATCCGTCACACGGTCACCTCACTCCTCAACGGATTCGCCACGCTCACGGTGAGCGGACTGCAACCGTTCCCAGAGCTGGTCAGCCGTTCGGCTGAGGAACAGGTTGTGGAATCGGACCTTCAGAGTCGCGAACGTCTTGATAGTCGAGTTGTTCCACCACCATTCAGCTTCAGAGCCCTTGATCCGTTGTCGGAACACTAACAGCCGAGACTGGTCCGGGAGGTGGCTGGTGTGAGCTTCGAACAGCTCCCAGAAGTCACGCGCCTTGTCCATGCTGGCCGTGTCCGAGTAGAAAGCAGGTAGGACCTTGATCGCATTGGAGACCATAGACGACAAGCCACGGTCGTTCCGAACGGTCGGGTTGTTCATGGGGGCACGGTAGCCACCGTTCCGAGCTTGGGTAGGCATCGGCCGTCCGTTCGTTGAGGCACTTACCGCAGTTCTGACAGGTGCTTTGTAGTGCACGACTGTCTTCACCGGTCCCGTCGGTTGGGTCTTCACCGGTCTCGTAGGTTGGGACTTCACTGTAGGCTCCACTTTCACCTTCCGCTCCATCTTCACCGTGGGCTTCGGCACCGTTCCCCAACCACCGTAGCCTCCTTGCGGGGCACCGACGCTCCAGCCAAACACAGGACCTCCAGGCAGACGCTTCTCCGTTCCCGTGTACACCGGGATGAAGCCACTTGGGGTCCTCTGCTGCCGCACTTCTTCAGGTTCTTCTTTCACGTAGTCCGTGTAGTAGGACGGTTCGTACTCAGCGAGTTCACTGTAGCCGTAGTCTTCCGCCGACCAGTACTGTTCCGTTTCATCAAGTCGTCATCCTCACCGTCTTCCTCGACCGTTTGCACAGCCTCGGGGCCCGGCGATGGAGCCATCTTCATCTCGAGCTCTTGTTCTGCTTGAGCTCCGCCCGCATCACCGTGTTCATCTGCGGTCTTGTGTTCATCATCGTCTTCATCGGCCCAAAGAGCCTCCCTCGTTTCCTGGCGAAGCGAGTCACGACCGGCAGCAGTAGCTACCTGCGCCGCCGCGTCCACTCCGCTCGCATCTCCGGACGATCGCGGGCGTCGCTGCCCCAGTAGAGCCGACGTGGTTCCACCGAGTTGCAGCCGTCGCAACCGTTCCGCTTCCAACCGTGCCACTTCATCTTGCACGGACCGCTGATTCCCATTCTCTCCTTGCTCTCCAACAACCGTCATCTTCTTCAGAAAGTCTTCTTCACTCGACCTTCAGCACGCGATCTTCTTCACTCGAACGCGCGAAACAAACTCCAATCTCCAATCTCCAAACTTCAAACTTCCAGACTTCAAACTACTTCAGGCTCCGAGCGAGCCGACCAGAATTACCGGCGGAACATAGCGTTCCGTTCACCGTTGACTTGACCTTGACCGTTAAGGGCTCCGAGCGAGCCGACCGTTTTCTTCTTGACCTTCTTGACCTTGACCAATGGGGGTACTTCGCGTACCGTTCTCCAATCCCACAGCGGCGCCGAGCGCACCGTTCACACGACACAATTCCAGATCCAGACCGTTCACGCGCCCGAGGCGAAGACTGGGACTCCAGGCAGACTCCCGAAGACCAGACGAAGCTCCACCGACGCGAGGACTTGACCCGTACTGCCGTCGTTCAGACTTCACAACGAAGACCGTACCCTGCTTCTCCACCACGTGTCGCGAGTGCCCTGGATGGGACGGTCAAGCGTTGTATGGAAGCTAGAACGGTTAGGCAGTGGCACAAATAGCGAGACCAGAGCTAATATGCAAAAGCAATCAACTTGTTCTCTCCAGTGCAGATTCACGACTGACCCTACTTCCTTACCGCGCACGGAGCCTGACAGCTCGTGCTTCCTTCTTCTTTCGGCTCTCTGTCAGCTCACGTGCCGACTTCAACACGTCACCGGCTCACCTGGCTCTCGTCTCACCCCTTCGTCCTTGGCTCACCTCACAGCTCATGTCCTGAGCCACGCGGTGCTCGTGACCTCCGTCCTGCCCTTCGCGTCACTGCTCACCCATCGCTCGCGTCACTGCTTCCATCGCAGCCGCTCGCGTCACTGCTTCCATCGCAGCCGAGCGCGCCACCTAACCGAGGCGTCGCCAGCCAGCACCCCTCCGAAGTGGATGACTGCCCGCTCACCGCATCGTCCCACAGCTGATCCTCCAGAAGTCGATCGTTGGTCGAACGGTCGTCCGTGTAGTAGGAACGGTGGTGACCGTTCCTACTCGGGACATCCTCCCCGACTGAAACTCGACGTCCTCGTCGAGCAGCTTGCAGCTTGTCGGCTTGCATTTTGGCACGCAGCTCTCGCTGTTCGGCGCGCAACCCACTGAGCGTCCTCACGGGTTTCTTATCGCCTACGCAGCCGTCCGCACGCCAGAACGCTTCGCTCAAGCGCTCAGCTTGCTCCAGCTCTTCCAAGTCTTGCTGTCATTGCGAGTAGCGGTCCTCGGCCATCTTCAAGGGCGAACGCCCACCCGAAGTCGCCTCATACCATTTCAGCAAGTGGCTGGCCACGCAGGTCGCCACCACATAACAACTCCACCGCACTACCGTCTCGTCGGGCACGAGTCCGTCGCCGACGACTAGACCTCCATCAGCCAATATGTAGTTCAGCGTCAGCAGGAGCACTGCGACGCCCACCGTTCCTTGGCACACTCGCTCCACGAAGTCGTACACGAACACGACCGTGTAGAAGAGGGCGTAAGCCAGCAACGACACGAACGCCCAGAACCCTCGACACACACAGCTCGCACGGTCGACCGTCCGTCTGCACTCGGCCTTGGGCCCTTTCCAATACTTGGCCGTCGACTTGCAGCTGAGCTCCAATACGTCAGGCAAGAAGACGCACCACAAGGCGTGATACGCTTCCAACCACTTGTGTATCAGCCTGCCGAGGCCTTCGGTGTGCTCTCCACGAGCCTCCAACACGATCATGGGCGTGGCCCAAATTGCTTCGAACGCTTTCCATCTCCGTTCCGCCGCCGGTCGACCTTCTACGGCCGGACCGTTCACAAAGCGACGGTAGCGCCTCAGGCACACCCGCGCCAGCGTAGATCACTTGTAGACGAAGGCGAAGATCGCGACGAGCAGTCGACCCGCGATACTCCACAGCGGCCTCGTCACCACTCCGCCAATCGCGCCAACGACCAACAAAACGGTCACCCACCAATATTTGCACAGCACCGTGAGCGCGACGCGCCACAGCACCAACGAACTCCAAAAGCACCACTCGATCACTTCAATAGTCGTCTCCATCTCGCCACCGTGCGAAAGTTAAAATACAGCCCTTGGAGCAGCCTGAGTCCACCGTTCCTGCCTACTTGCGAGGTCTACAGCCGTCGTACTCAGCACTTCGGTAGATCCAGCAACCCACCGTTACATTTCGTCAATTCACCGTGTTTGACACGGCCGTGTCGCTCGTCAACCGCGTCTCCCCCTTCCCCGAAAGGAAATCACAGACCTTCAACTTCCAACGGTCGAGTCGTTGTCCATCAGTAGCTCACGCTCATTGGCGTCTTGTCCTCCTTTCAGCTTTTGCCGAGACAACCGCAAGACGCCCAAGAACCCCACCACCATGACCAAGCCTCGCCACAAGAATAAGGCCGCCATCATCCGACGCCTGCGCTCGCGCTTGGACCGCAAGACGCGCGGCGCCAGCG